CCCCCCCACCCGCCTGGTCCGGTGAGAACCCGGCGTGCTCCGTCCGGGGGTTGTAGGGATGCTAGGTCAATGGTCTAACGAATACGGCATGCACGACTATGAATACACCCCCCACCCGCCTGCTTGATACTTGGAACGAGCCAAGGCCGATCGTAGGGCTAGTCTTGGCCATGTGTGTACAAAATCGAAAGCCTATTTTTTTGCGGCGTTCCGGTGACGGATGATCGTTCCCAGGAGGTTTGGCGCATCACACAGTTGACATTGAATCTATTTTCTCTACCGGCATCTCATTTTTCCGCCTCAAATGATTTCTCAAAACAACCACACCGAAAACAAAGAAAACAGCCAGGCGAGGTCTAAATACCGAACCCAACATCACCAATTCAACAGGCGATGGGATACATTTACGACAAGCAGCTCGTGCACGCCCTGTTCGAGTCTGGAGCGGAGCGTTACGGGGAACGCCCCGGAGGGTACACCCGAATCATCCGTACAACGCCAAGGAAGGGAGACAACGCCAAGATGGCCATCATCGAGCTTGTATGAGACTCGTTAGATTTTTGCCGTTTGATTGTTTGCAGCACCTCGTGCTTGCGATTGTTGCGATTGCTAGTTTTTGCTGGGCATACAGGGACGGCGGAAAGGGAAAGAGATTGACGCTTGCAGGCAGTTTTGAGGAGTTGATCTGGTCTGCAAGGGAGCGTGACTTTGTCATGCTTGACGATTGTAGGGATGGGCGACAACCAGACATGCCCCCCGAAGGCGTTCTCGGGTGCTGGTGATGGCGTGCACATCTTCTCATGAAATTTCCTTAGTGTTTGCAACTATCGTACGGAGAAATCTCGGCGAGGTGGGTCGAGATATAAATTTGGGTGAGGCAAGCAGCCGCCCGTCGAGTACTATTCCTGATGATGCAGTTGGGTATGACATCTGTGACACCGCCCTGTAGATGTCGGAGGAAGAAGAGCCCTCGGTGTCTTGCACGTATCAGTTCCTTGACGTCGTTGAGAGCAGTGTTGGCACCGTATTACCAGAATTTTGTGGTGCTATGTGCGATACTCGGGAGGCTACAGTACACAGCAGTCAATGAAGGCGACGACAAATCTCGTTTTTCCCACGACTCCCGCTCAATCGTCCCATGTCCCACCCTTTGCCTCGGCAAGCCCTCGACGTGGTGAAACATGACAAAAACAACCAAAACAGCCCAACAACGCGAGGGCATCTCCTGCTTCAATTCAAACCAACGGATATACTTCCCACCGCACGTCAGCGTACTAGT